GGGGGAGGACGAGGGGGCGGCGCTGGGGCGGGGCGGGCCTGCTCCTGGGGCTTCGTAGGCCGCGGCGTCCCGGGCGGAATCGGGGGCGCCCCCCGCAGGCCCCCCGCGGCCTGGACCCGGGTTGCCGGAGACCCGCCGCTGCGGATTCTTCTGCGATTCCTTCAAACCTCAGTGCCTGGCGGACCCGACTCACATCTGACCCCTGTTTTTAGGGTTCTCCGCTACAAGATCAAGGCCGAGCCCCCCACGCAGATGAGAAGCCCGCGGTCCCCGCTCCCGCTCGGGGACGCCCGCCCGCCCCTCACGCCAGGGCCCAGGGCCTGGAGCCCCACGCGGGGCCGGGGCGCCCCCACCGGAGAGGCAGGCCCGGGAGACAGGGGGCGCCCGCCGGCCTGGGCTTCCCGGGAGAAGCTGGGCGGCTCCGGTTCTGACCGGCTTCTTCTCGGTCCGCATCCCCTGACAGCGTCCTGGGATTCCAGCTGCTTCTCCTGCCCGGAGGGCCTCGGAAATTTGCCAAAACTGCGGGTTTTGAATTTAGCCCTGGCGACGTGGCTAGGGGAGACTTCAGAGGTGACGTTTTGGGGCGTCCTCGCCCTCGGTCCCCCGACGGTCTGGAGCGGGGTGGGGGTGCGACAGGGGTCTCCCCGCCCGCCGCCGGGGGTTCAGGCCCAGGAGGAGGCGCCGCTCCGGACCCTGCGGGAAGCAGCGCTGGCCGTGCCGGGCGGGGCAGGGTTACCGGCCCCGCGTCCCCGCGCGTCCGCCAGGGCCTTTGGGAGCCCACTTGGGACCTTCCCATCGGTGTTTCTGGAGCGTGTCAACGAGTGCGGCCCAGCAGCCGGGAAAGCCGCGTGTGGAGCTGACCGCCCCTAAGGGGGACTCCCTCCTCTGCCTTTCACCCTCGCCCCGCGCCCCTGCGAGACTGTGGGGCTCCGTGCCCAGACCTGCCCGCTCCCGTTCCTGTACTCCCCGCTGCGCAGCACTGGCCTTCGGTGACACCCGGCGTCCCTCTGAAAGGTCGCACGGCCCCCGCTCTGCGCTCTGACCTCGCTGGGGTGTTTCCCCTGAAACCGGGAGGCAGGGCCACAGCCTCCTGCCCCTCGGCAGGCAGGCACCTCACAACCCAGGACTGACAACCCCCAGGGTCTTCGAACCCCCGTCTGGGCCCCTCTCTGCCTGCTCAGTGACTGCCTGAACCCCTCTCCAGTTCTGACTGAACCCCGTTTCCTACATTGTGTCTCTTGTCCTTTCTGGAGCAACGGACACAGTCCTCCCCACTTTCTGGAGCACACCCCACAGTCCTGCTCCCCAAGTCCCAGCACCTGGGGTCCTGCACCCAAACGGCCCCACACCACCAGCTTCCGTTCCAACCCTAGGCCTGGGAGTCTCACGGGCCCCCTTTTCCCTAATTCCTGCCCTCTGCCCACGGACATGGGGTTGTAACCTCCCTTCCCCACCACTGCCGTGGAAAGCAGCGTGGCAGGAGGCAAGACCAGGGGCCGTGGGCTCCGGAGCCTGAGTGTGATGGTGGGACCGCCACCAAGTGTATTTTTGGGCCAGATGTAGGGAGACCATGGGAGCAAGTCAGATAAGAATGGCGCCCTCCAGGAAGAGTGGAGAGGAGAGATACGGAGAGGCTAGCGCCCCAGGCTCTGTGGAGGGTGGGCAGACAGATGGAGGCAGCGGGAAAGGCCTTCTGCTCCAGCCCAGGCCTGTACAGGCCCCCACCAAACAGCCCCCACCTGGGACCGTGTCCGCAGGTGCCGCCATTCACCAAGCACCCTCACACAAACTCCCTTTCTGCGAAGCCACCAGCAGGGTCAGCCGTGATGTAAAAGGCAGGGGCTGGCCGGGCGCGGTGGCTCAAGCCTGTAATCCCAGCACTTTGGGAGGCCGAGGCGGGTGGATCACGAGGTCGTCAAGAGATCGCGACCATCCTGGTCAACATGGTGAAACTCCGTCTCTACTAAAAATACAAAAAATTAGCTGGGCATGGTGGCGCGTGCCTGTAACCCCAGCTACTTAGGAGGCTGAGGCAGGAGAATTGCCTGAACCCAGGAGGCGGAGGTTGCGGTGAGCCGAGATCGCGCCATTGCACTCCAGCCTGGGTAACAAGAGTGAAACTGTTTCAAAAAAAAAAAAAGGCAGGGGCACACCCACCTGAGCCTGAGTGTGATGGCAACCACAGCTGGCCCAGGACAGCGCTTCCCCGGAGGGCTTTGTGGCTCTGGAGCTCTGGGTCAGCTCACCCTGCAGTCCAGGAACTCAGAATCATCACCCCGGGGGACCCAGCTCCTCTGCAGGAGGCCTCCTTCAGTCTGAGGGGCCTCGGGGTTCTGCACCCACGATGCTCCTCCTCCCTTCAGGAATTCAGCTGTCTTGTTGCTTTTTTTTTGCTTTTTTTGAGACAGAGTTTTGCTCTTGTTGCTCAGGCTGGAGTGCAGTAGGGCAATCTCAGCCCACCACAGCCTCCACCTCCCCAGTTCAAGCAATTCTCCTGCTTCAGCCTCCTGAGTAGCTGGGATTACAGGTGCGCACCACCATGCCGGCTCATTTTGTATTTTTAGCAGAGACGGAGTTTCTCCATGTTGGTTAGGCTGGTCTCAAACTCCCGATCTCAGGTGATCCGCCTGCCTTGGCCTCCCAAATTTCTGGGATTACAGGCGTGAGCCACAGTAAAGGTGCCCGACCCTTGCGTTTCTCTAGAAGCTGCTGCCCTTTGGAAGTCAGAAGGGCTTCAGGAGTCCTTTAGTTCTGGGGCACCCATCAAGATGGAAAGAACTTCTAGCATCAGCAAGGCCAGGAGGACCTGAGAAATGGGTGTTAGTACTGAATGACAAAGATGGCGGCAGCAGAACCCACCAGCACGGTCAACAGCGACCTGGGCATCTTCGTGGAGCCACGGCGAGTGCCAAACCCCGCAGGGCCCCAGGCTGTCCTGGAGCCCAAAGCCAGTCAAGTGACTGCACACACTGCCCTGTTACAGGAGACCGGCAACTGGGAGTGGGGAGGGCCGCCCAAATCTCACTGCAGGAAATTCCAGTGCAGCGACCCTCGCCCTGAGGGGAGGGCAGGTCTCGCAGGGGATGTCGTGTCCTGGGGCTACAGGGCTGGCTGGGGACTGGGGCTCTGCATTTCCAGCCGGCCGGCAGGAAACCCTGCTCCGGCCATGGACGGTGCTGTGCAGCCAGGCTGCGGAACACCGGACCTGATTTTCAGCAGAGGGCTGGAGACAGAAATGGGGGCGGGCAACTTTATAGGTGGAAAGGGTGTGCCCTAATCTGAGGTGTGCGAACACATACATGCATAATAGTACATAGCAGTCATTATCGTTTTTAATGAAAGTTGACAGTGATGAGCTTTACCTGAGTCCTATGATCCTGGAAGGTTACGAAGTCCCCGCTTTCTGTTCTGGAAACAGCTCAGAACCCCAGACCCAGGTGACGAAGATGAGATTCACAGTGTCCCTTGTTTACCTGTGACAAGGCTGGACACACCCTCCAGAGTCCTGACTTTTACCACGTACATAAGTAGCTGAACTGTTGTTCTTGTTGGAACCGAATGCGCTGGTCCAGTTCAGGTTAAGTCTCCTCCAGGGCCCTGACCGTGGGCCCAGCCTCAGCCTGGGCAGGCCGCCGGGAGCAGGGGCTCCGACGCAGCTTTCTTGAACCTGCAGCTGAGCAGCGGGCTCCCCACCCTCCTCCGCACACCATGCTGCTCCACTCCAGACAAGAAAACTGCTTTTGCCTGACTGGAGACATCACAGGTCTAACACACTTGCAATCATCCTTTCAAAAACAGCACCAAGTCGAGATTTAAAAAACGCTCTCATTTATTTATGGCAACCACTCTTCTACTTTCTGCTTTTATGCACTGGCAGATGTGCTTTTTTTTTTCCGGCGAGGGTGGTTTGTGACAGGGTCTCGTTCTGTCACACAGGCTGGAGTGCAGCGGTATGGTCTTGGCCCACTGCAGCCTGGGCCTCTCGGGCTCCAGTGATCCTTCTACCTCAGCCTCCCGAGTAGCTAGGACCACAGGCATGTGCCACCACACCCGCCCAATTTTTTAGTTTTTGTAGAGACAGGGGTCTTGCTGTGTTGACTAAGCTGGTCTCAAATTTCTGGGCTCCCAAAGCACTGGGATTATAGACATGAGCCACTGTACCTGGCCCTGATTTGTTTTTTTATTTGTCTGAAGAGTACTTACGGGGAAAAGGATATGAACTCTGGAGTTGGCATGCCAGGCGTGGTGGCTTATGCCTGTAATCCCAGCACTTTGGGAGGCCGAGGCAGGCAGATCACAAGCTCAGGAGTTTGAGACCAGTCTGGCCAACATGGTGAAAGCTCGTCTCTACTAAAAATACAAAAATTAGCCAGGCACGGTGGTGGTGCATACCTGTAGTCCCAGCTGCTCAGAAGGCTAAGGCAGGAGAATTGCTTAAACCCAGGAGGCAGAGGTTTCAGTGAGCCAAGTTTGTGCCAATGCACTCCAGCCTGAGTGACAGACTGAGACTCCATCTCAAAAACAGAAAAAATTAAAAAAATACTCTAGCAGGCTGGGCGTGGAGCTCATGCCTGTAATCCCAGCACTTTGGGAGGCCGAGGCAGGGAGATCACTTGAGGTTACGAGTTTGAGACCAGCCTGGCCAACATGGTAAAACCCT